AGTTGAGGATTGCAGTGGCGAGTGAAGCTCACAAGTCGCTAAATCGAGGTAATTTACAGTTAGAATAAAGAAACAGATTCCAAGACTAACATTGAAGAAAATATAACAACATTTATTAAATCTTTCCACATAGTATACACTGTTAATATCAATACTTAAACATTTACTAAACCATTAGTTTCTCACAACTTTACTTTTCACCTTTCAGTTAACAAACTTCCTTTAATTACCTTAATTGATCAAGAGAGATAGCAATTCTATTCTTACAACAGAGTTGGGCCAGTATACTTTTGGAGGTTGAGATCTTCAGGTTCATATTGGAGAACTTCAATTCTTCCTGGAGAGAACTGCTACAACAACTACAACTACTAATAGCAACTCGAGAACAACTGATTTTTCGGCTTCAGACATGAGTTTTTAACCCATATTTTTTTTGTATTCAGTCGACCTTCCAAATAGTGTTCCTAACTACCTGCAAGTAGTTCTAACACTTTATTGGTTGATCTGTACAAATTCTCGGACTAGTCCAAAACCATAACCAAAACTCTCAAGTGATTGGTTACTGTTATGGTGAGTTAGCTGGTTGGCTTCTCAGTTGTGCCAGTACACCAGTGTTGTGTAAGCAAGATATCAGTAAAGTACCGCTTTTACATGTTAACATCAACTTTTTCATAGCCTCCACAGTACTAACGAGTTGGCATCAGTAGTAAATCACTGCCAATCACTTATGCTAGCGTTTTTCTCAACATCTCTAATGTGACTTCATTTTTTATAACTTTTAAGTCATGATTCTCTAACTCGTGATTCTCAATACCACTTAACCAGCTAGCTGTACTTTCCTAGCTCTTGACCTTATTTCGATAATACAGGCATTTTTACTTATGCCATTTCTTCATGTATATGTTCACTTAAAACCTCAGAAAATTGTTATAACCTCTTTCTTCAACTCTTTTAAAATGCTAAAATACTATTGTAAAATTCACTCAGAAATATACAGTTGCTTCACTGATAAGATATTTTCAATAGATTATAAGTTATTTTATTTATATACATTGTTATAATATGATAAACTTAACAATAATATTTGATGAATAAAGATTTAAGTCAGTGGGATATTTTTTCCATTGCTGAAATATTCACTAAATCTATTTAAGCCTATCTGATGTTTACTCATAGAATAATATTTCTGTAGCTTTCAAACAGCAGTGATTTAAAATAAAACAATATCAGGAACAACAACAACAAAATCTAAATAAACTAAAAGAATTCCCAAATCTGTGGTTTGTTTCTGTCTTCTAAGCTAAATTCAATTATTATTTTCAGCAAAACTTCTGTTTAGTCCCTTCCCAATAAAATTAATTAAAGCATAAATTACATATTACACCTCTTTATTGACTCTACATTGATGTCATTTGATCTTACCATTGTAGCTATTTTCAAAGCTGTGCATTATTAGTAGTCACTCAAATCTCCTGCTCCGAGATCATAAAAAGGGTGGAAACTGAAGGACGCACTAGTAAAACCAGTAACAGAGAGAGAGAGAAAATCAAATGAAAAAGAAAATATGAATAATTATATTTTCCTATAGCTTACCATACTCACTAAATAGTAAACTTATCTGATTTGATGAAGATTTCATTTCATTTCATGAACATCAGAAAAAAACAACTCATGATTACAAACATTGTAGCTCAATAAAATCATAATATATATGTATTGAGAATTAACACCACCTTAAACAAAGAACAACACATCAAGATATCTTTATTAAGCTTTAAGCAATCCCAACTTCTTGTACCTGATAATACAAAAACTTTATCCAAATATTCTTAATTCTCAGTAATTAAACAGCATTTGTTTAATTTCTAAAACCTTTTTTTACTGTTAAAATTTGTGTACTTGACAATGATTGCACCAGTGATCAAAAAGTTACCTGTTCTAAAAACAAATCTTCCTTACTCTAAAAGCTGTAACTTGTAATAAAATAATATGCATCAGCACTTAGCAACAAAACTATAACCTGATAATTGTTTTTAGGCCTGTAATGATGTTTATGTTTAAAGCATAATATACACGTTGATTTGTTGAAAAAGTTTTTTTGTTATACCTTTGGTGATATAACAGCAAAATAATTTAGATGTAGAATTGAATTGATATTTTTTCTTTAATGATAAGTTTTACACACTTGGGTCTAGGGTAGGTTATTCCACTGTCTTTAGGTTTAATTAAAAAAAAAACCTTAGGCTATCTTATCACATGATGATAAAGTTAAATAACATTTTATTTATAGTTTTGCAATTGTTTGATGAAGACTTCTAATAATTTATTTTTACTTTGAGTTACAGACAAAAGCAAAGTAAAAATTACAAAGGATTTCAATGAAGTAGTGTTTCAGCTGAATTTTACATAGAAATATTTGAAAATGTACTTAAAATTGTTTTATGTTCTCGAAGTGTGATCGTTTTTATGTGAACAAAATTCACTGAAGGAAGTGCTGGGGTTCTCAGTTGTTGTTTTTTACGAAACTCCAGCCTTTCATTTTATTTATGGGTATGTCAGCTAGTTAATCTAGAAAATGTGTGTCCAAAAACATTTTATGAAGTGGTAAAAAAATATAAAAAGCTTGAGAAAACCCTGTATTCAGACTTCAGACACAATGATTTAGAAATAACTTATTTTTTGTAATCCTAAACTTTGTACTTGAAATGTATTTTACTGGTAAAGCATTGTTTAACTTTCAACAGATTTGTGTACACATTCACATACTTGTTATTTGAGGCATCTCAGTATTGTTTACATGTTTATTAAGCATGTTTACAACAGTTTTGGAGCCTTACCTGTTATATCTATAACTATGCCGTTACTTGAGCTCTCTGTAACCAACTAAGGAAAATGAATAATCATAACTAATTTTATTAATTAGGCAAATGTGTACTTAACCAAAGTAAAAGACCAGTATTTTTTTTATATTTCACAAGCAGTCTAGATTTAAAGTCAAACAACACAACAATTAGAATAACATCAATGCGTTTGTAAAATAAAAGTTTTGATAGTTATAACATTATCTTACATAGTTTGAAAACCATTAGGGGATGAATATGAATAAAACTGGAAAGTTTGTTCAGATAATATCTTATTATTGTGTTAACAAGTAACAACATTTAACCTCTCTGCACTAGCTGCAATAATATTTCATTTTTACAATGATGATATGATATCAGTTAAATTTTTAAAAGTTAGATATGTAATACTGTAACCAAATTTTCAGTATTTTGTATAAGAAAGAAGACTTCTTATGATGATAATAATATGGTATGTTAGATTAATTAGTGTAGACCATATGGTCTGAAAGTAATCTAAAATAAGTCAAAGTTAATATAACTATAACATATTTTGCAAATGATTAGCTGAACCAGGATATAATTCAGTGATTTCAAAGCTTGTATCTTTATTTCTAGTAATGTGAGTGATATGAAAATTAAAACAAAGAGAAACATTTGTTTACAACGTTTTTTAACTGAAATTGAATAGTTATAATTATTTAAAGCATTGGGAAAAAGGATGCTCTTTTTAAAAAAAACAATTAAGAAGTCATTACTTATACAGTCATACCACTTCCATTTTAACTTAATTTAGACATCAATTATACCAAAAATATCTTTCTCCCCAAAATTCTAAATTCTTCTAAACAAAAAATTTATTCTGTAACAAGTCTTCATTATAAGAGCTGCAGATGTCCGAAACAATACTAACTTTGATTAAAACAAATCACTAAAGTCTAAGCTCATTCTTAGAGAGTCTGTAAAAAATGAAGATACAAAAATCTACCATGGCAACAATATATAATCAGTTATTGACCTAGGCTTTAACTGGATTGCTGTAAGCTCCAACTGTGTTGATTTTAAAAAAAACTGGCAAAATCTTCTATGGTAATTAATAGCCTGATCAAATAAAAGTACTGATATCTAATGTTTCTTTTTAATATTGACTGGCTGTTTTTATTAATTTCTCAAGGGGGTGGGCAACATAGATCTGCACCTACTTGTACAACATTAACAATTAATTTCTGAAAAAAATGGGTCTGGCTCACCCTAGACCCATGCATTTTTATACAACATTTAAAGAATAGTTATTAATTCCTAAAACAATTAGGGTCCATACTCCCTTTTCTGAGATTTGCACTTGTTTATACAACATTAAATAATATAGTTACTAAATTTTAATCAAAAACAAGACAATGTGAAAAACATTAAATTTCAAATTTATTTAACACTTAAGTAGTTAGAGAGCCAAGCATTGGTGCTGCCATCCAGTTGTTTTCTTTTTAGTTAGCAGTTAAAAATTATGTAGCTTTACACTTAATAAGAAATAAACATAATGGTAATATTTTGATTATGTGGATAGTTGGAAGAATCAAAAACAGTATATAATTGGAAACCCTAATTCAGATAAGTTGTTTATTTTTGTGACAGTCTATTTATACATAATTTTGATTAATTTATTGTTGGAATAATCAAAAGGAGTATATAGGAAATTATCTGCTTATTTTTGTGTCAGTTAATTTAATAATCAATTGTTGGAAAAATTGAAAACAGTAAATAATTAATTAGAAACCCTAATTTTGATTGGTTGCTTACTTTTGTGACAATTGATTTAATCATAATTTTGATTAGTTTACTAATTTACTAATTGATGCAATCATTGCCTACAAGTAACCAACTTTTAATTTGACCAGTACTATTGATACGTACATTGTTTGTAGGTGAAACTTCTCGGATCTGCACGGAAATGAAAGTTTAATCTTTTTTCATTTTAATTTGTGAATTACATTAAATAAATGTTGTAAAATACTTTTGAGTTAAAAATTGTTGAAAGATATTTAGAATTATTTTTTTATTCAAATTTTGAAACATGATATGCTGGTGTGCACTAAATACCTGAATGGTGTTTTTTAGTTTGGAAAGGAATATGAAACTCATTCTCTTTTTATTATTTTACAGATACAACTGGCACACCTAGTAACAGTGACAGAACACCACCAAGTGATGACCGAGAAGTTGTTGTTGTTTCTCCTGATCCTGTTGCCCAAGTCAATCAGATGGAAGAAGATGAGCGACTTGCAAGGATACTACAGGTAAGAACATTGTTCACTAGAACATCTATGGAGATTTTGAGTCCATTTTACTTCACCATATAGTATCCTAAATTAATTTAGGTATATGAATAATGCTATGACATTTCGTTGAATTCATTATTCAATATTATACAGCATACCAACTGTTTAATGCTCTGTAGAGTTGCAGAGAGAGAGGGAATTAATGTTTAGAAATAGTAAAGCATAAAACACTGTCCTAGGCTAGATTTCAATGTACTTAAGTTATAGATACAAGATTAATTGTTAAGACAAATTATGAGGTCAGCATGAATAAATTATAAATGATGAAACTGGATTTGTTAGAATATGAAATACTTTCTTGTTTTTGTAACATTGAAATATTGTAATAACTCAAAATAAAACCAAAAAATATTTCTAAAATTTCTGTTTCTAATTTATGTTATTTGAGGGCATGGCCTACTGTCTTTCACAATTTTGAACTGTATCTCATGAACCATTCTTCTGATGCAAAGGTACCTGTGCTCAACATGGCACTAAATGTTTGCTTCAGACCATCAAACTTCATTGATCCTTTGCTTGTGCCATTGAGATAGTAAAATTGAAATAGCTGCCATTCATCCCATTTTTTTATCCATTGGAAATTAATTTTGGGGGGAAGGTCCCCCTCATCTTCTCTGTCACATAGAGAGATACAGTTAATGAGCCCAAAAAATTAATCGATTAGTGAATTACACTACTTATCCAGCTCTAGCTGTAATTTTTTTCTTGTTATGGAATCATTTTTTTCTAATTATGCATTAATTTCTGTTCAGTATTTATTTTATACCATTGTAAAGTATTACCTGGTGCTCATAAATTATTTTATTTAACCCTTTATATACGGGTCACAGGTGAAAGGCCATGTCATCTCGTTTGACTCAAATTCAAAATTTTATTGAACTACTATTTCAAGAAGTTATGTCAATAAGTTTGGTATCAAACTGTAGAGTATAACTCAAATTTTAGAACTATACATTACTCAATTTGTTAATTTAAAAGTAAATATTAAAAAAACACAGATAAATGTAGATTTTTGTGTGTCACGTGGTATGTTGAAT